ACAGCCGAAGCTCTTTGGGGCAGGGAGAGTCCACGTGGGTTGGCTGTAGGACTGCACACATGTAGAACTCTAATTTATGGACCAGAAAAGCACAAGAGTTAAGAACTCAGGCTCCAGAACCAGCTTGCCTGAGTTCAAATCTCAGCTCCTTAGCCATGTGATCTTCGGCAGACATCTAACCTCTCTGAACGTCAGTCTCTTTATCTGGAACATAGTAATGCTAATATAGCATTGCTCTCACAAGACTTTGCAATAAGTAAGTGAACGAGTGCCTGGTACACAGTAAGCCCTCATGAAACCCAAACGTAAGCCAGCTCTTGTATTCGAAGTGAATGCAACGTTTGCACAGATTCGATTTGGTCCTCTCTTAGCTGCCCATGACTGGATCTGCCACAGTGACTTGGGGTTCATAAGGACTTGAATCTCTGGACCGCCATGCCTGGCCGCCTCTCGCCCCAATTCCTGGCTTGGAAATGAGGGGAACCTGGCTGCAGAAAGTTGTCCAGTGGCACAATGTAGTGGGTAAAGCCCCAGCCCTGGAGTCGGGCCCAGCCTGGGTTTGAATCTCAGCTTTGCCGCTTCCTAGCTGGACTACTTTTCCTCTCCCACCCCAGAGTCCTGCCAAGAACCACAGTGTCTATCTCACAGGGTGGATCAGAGCATTACAGGAGGTAACGTGTGCAAAGCGCCCAGGATGAGGCCAGGCCCAGGGAAGCTGCTGGCTGAATACAGTCCCTTCCCTCCCTCTGGCTGGCACTCTGCCCCCTCCCAGCTCTGGCTCTGCCTACCACGTTCAAAAGTGGCTGCTGCACCTGTCGTTTCTGAAAATACATTCCTGGCTGCTTTTGTCTTTTCATCCAAGTCTTCCCCAAAGCCTTAAACATTCCCAAATCAAGGGTTTAAAAAGACAAAAAACTCAAGCTGACCTATCCATGCCGCTAGTTGGCAAATGTCCCAGAGGATCTTGCTCTGCCCATCACTGAGCTTGACATTCAGATCCCTCAGTCAAATTCACTCACATCCGACAAGATCAATGAGAAAACTAGGCAGCGATGATCAAAAGGGCCGACAAAGGCTCTTGGGGTAACTCTCCCAGCAGGATTTCGCACCACACAAAAGTGCATGCAGGGGGTGTTCCATGAAAGCTCCTCCACTCACCGGCATCCCTCAGGCCCAGAGACACCAAAAAACCGTTTCCATGACAACCTGCTGCAAATGTTATATATAAATGTGTGTGTGTACACAGCCACACAGAGATGCACGGAAATAAACTCTTGGCACAATTTTTTCCTGTTCCAAACACGAAATAACCTGCAAGGATTGATTGCTGGGAGAGAGGACAAAGAACGTTTTAAACAAACAGGCTTCCGATGTGCTGGCTGTCGCGGATGTACTCCTGTTTTGATGTGGGTCTGTTTTGTTTCCTGCACCTGGAATATAGCAGATACTCAGTAAATAATTGTTGACTGAATGAATAAATGATGGATAAATGGAAGAAAGAAAGGAAGGGAGGGGGGAGGAAGATAGAAGCAGCCTGGAATGTCAGGGCTGGATGGCTCCTACCGAGTATCCAGTCTAATCTAACCCCCTATTTTCTGTTGGAGATACTGAAGCTCAGAAAAAGGAAGGAATCTTGCTGAAAGCCACAAAAGGAGTTATGAGCAGAGCCCCAGTCTCAGAGATTCATTAGCTAAGCGCTTAATGAATGTGAGTCAACTTTATATCCGAATAATAAACATATATTGAGCAATTATTTTGTGCCAGCAACTGTGCCAAGTACTTAGGAACATTCTCGTAATTTGAAACCGTGCAAGAGGTGTGTTAGGATTTCTGTTTAACAGAGATGGAAACGGGGGCTCTGAGAGGTGAAGTCGCTTGAGCAAGGTTACATAGCTCCTCTGTGGTTGGAATGGCGATTAACCTCGGTCGCTCAAACACCAGGTTCTGAGCCTCTACGTTACACAGCGTCTCTCTGAAATGAGGACCCAGAGCGTGGGCCAGATGGAGGAGCAAAAGAGGAAACAGTGGCAGGGACTGTTAGCTCCATTCTTGCGGATATTATAGGCTCAGAGAGGTGAAATAACTTGCCCAAGTCAGGGAGCTGTGGGGAAACGACTAGAACTCACATTTCAGGTTCCCAGTTCTTTAGTTTACTCGTTACCTTCTAACAAAACCCCTGTGGAACTGAAGTCTGGCTCCTGTCAGCCCCAAAGTCAGCCATCTAACTGGGCAGGGGGGCGGGCTCCCCTCGGGCTGTCTTTGAGTCCCAGGAGGTGGACCCAGGGCTGATTCCAAGCGTCTCTTTAGGGTTTTGCGCCCTCTGGTGGTCATATCTTAGAACTAGGAAGAAACAGGTTGCTTGAACTCTAGGAAACTCCCTCGCTGGAACGGGGTTTTGCCCTGGATACTCTGAAAGGACATGGAAATGGTACACAGGGTCCAGGTGCAGGCTCCCTGCTGCCCTGGATGTGCCGTGCTCCCCTTTACATATGCTGTTCTCTTTGCCTGGCACACTCTTCTCTGCCCCTCACCTAGCAAATTCCTGCTTGTTCTTCAAAGTCGCAGCTCAGAGTTCACTTCCTCAGAGGTACACTTTCATATTTCCCTGCGCTTCCAGGTGTAGAGTGCTCTTTACAATTGCAATTTCTTGTCTGGTGACTGCCTTTCTTTTTCTTTCTTTCTTTCTTATAAGGACACTAGTTCCATCACGAGGGCCCCACCCTCACGACCTAATACCTGGCCAAGGCCCCCCACATTCAAACACCATCATACTGGGGGTCAGGGCTTCAATACATGAACTTTAAAGGGACATGGTTCAATCCGTAGCAACATATATCCCAGAGAACTAGCTTACTGATTGTGTTATTTAGATTTTTTTATACCCTTCTTATTTTTTGTCAACTTGGCTGAGAGTAGGGTGTTAAAGGCTCTGATCATTAGGGTATTTCTATCCTTTCTCTTTGCAGCTCCTGCAGTGTCTGCTTTAGGTAGGGGATCGATCTGATGCACAGACATCCAGAACTGTCACAGCTTCATTGTGAAATGTGGCTTAGCATTATAACGTGTCCTTCTTCGTCTCATTTAAAAATTGTTTTATTTTGGTTGAATTCTGGTGTCAGGGTTGCAGACCCTGCTTTTTTTTTTTTTCTTCCATTTGTCTGTTAAATCTGTGTCCATCCCTTGATTTTTCACCTTTTTGAATCACCTTTTTGAATGTTTTGGTTTTGTGGCTTATATACACCATAGCATTGAATTTTGCTTTACGAGCCAATTTAAAAATAACTTTCTTATAAGTGAGTCGAGCCCATTCACATTTACTGGTGTGACTGATGGGCTCGGCCTAACTTCCGTCGTATTAGTTTACGCTTTAGTTATGTGTTTATTACATTTACAGTTTCCTTCTCTGTCTGATAGGTCCTCTTTTCTCTTTTTAAATTTATCGGTATTTAGGAAGATCTATATTTTTGTTCTTAGTGATTATCTTTTTATTGATATTTTTTATAGATCCCTTAACCCTCTCTTTTCTTGCTTACCTTTTTACTATCTGATCTGTCCATTTTGAATGGTATCTTTTTGTGTGTGTGTGTGTGTGTGTGTGTTTGTTTTAAAAGATTGGCACCTGAGCTAACAACTGTTGGCAATCTTCTTTGTTTTTCCTGCTTTTTCTCCCCAAATCCCCCCAGTACATAGTTGTATATTTTTTCAGTTGTGGGTCCCTCTACTTGTGGTATGTGGGATGCTGCCTCAGCATGGCCTGTTGAGCGGTGCCATGTCTGCGCCCAGGATCCGAACCAGTGGAACCCTGGACCACCGAAGCAGAGCATGCGAATTTAACCATTTGGCCACGGGGCCGGCCCTGAATGGCATCTTTTTATTCCTGTGGATCCAACAGTCAGTAATCTCTCTCTGTCTCCTTCCCATCTCTTTTCCTCCCATTTTTTAGTTGCATTTGTTCTGCTTTTTCAGAACATGTAATGGTTATTATGATTTTTTGCCCAGGATCCCACCCTTGATTTAGTCTTTGCTGTACTAGTAGTTGATATGTATGACATGCTCGCTGACGGTCGTTTTGCAAACAGTCGTCTCTTGCTGGCTGAAGCTCACTCTGTAGCGGATTCCTCAGGGAGGGCACACGAGTACTGTGTTCCCTGAGCTCTTGCACATTCCAAACCGCGTTCTGTAGTTTTGCTATTTGAAGGACAGTTCGGTTCAATATAACATCCTTGGATTGCTTCCGTAGTTTCTTGAGAATGCTGCTCCATTCTTCTCTTGCTTTGTGTATTTTTATTGTGTCAAAATATACAGAATATTTATCATTTTAATTATTCATGAGTGCAATTCAGTGGCCTTAAATACATTCACAATGTTGTGTAACCACCACCACCCAAAATATTTCCTATATGCAAAACATTTTCATCATCCCCAACAAAAACCCTGTATCTATCGAACAACCCCTTCTCCCCCTCCCCCAGCTCCTGGTGATCTCTATTCTATTTTCTGTCTCTATGAATTTGCCTATTCTAGGTGCCTCATATAATGTACGTTATCTTTTAAAAAGTCTGATGTCTGTCTAATTCTGTTGCCTTTATAAGTTATTCGGTATTTTTGCTTGGGGGCCCTGAGGATTTTCTATCTTTAAAGTCCAAGAGCTTTACTAGCATCTATCTTGGAGTTGATCACTCAGTGTTAATTTACATAGTACCCAGTGAGCCATTTGATGTGGAGATCCAAGTCTTCTTTTATTTCTAGAAAGTCTTCCTGGATTCCAGTTTTTTTATTATTATTATTATTTTTTTTTTTGGTGCAGAAGATTGGCCCTGAGCTAACTAACACCCATTGCCAAGCTTCCTCTTTTTGCTTGAGGAAGATTGGCCCTGAGCTAACATCTGTGCCAATCCTCCTCTATTTTGTATGTGGGATGCTGCGACAGCATGGCTTGATGAGTGGTGTGTAGGTCCATGCCCGGGATCCGAACCAGCGAACCCTGGGCCTCTGAAGGAGAGCAAGCAAACTTAATCACTATGCCACCAGCCCCAGACCGGCATGTTGGATTTTAGTTTTAAATGTTAACTCTTTGTGTATCTTCTATTTCAGTCACTTTCTCTCTGACCATTTTTACTTCTTCATCTAATTTTCATTTTTTTTTATTTTGTGCTTTTCTTCAATGTCCTTTATTAAGTTTTCATTGGAATCTATTCTTCCTTAGGTGTCTTTCAGTTTAATCTCTATTTATGATACTATTTTGTTATTTCTTGTCTGCGATCAATTCTCACTTAATTTCTTTCTTTTTTCCAGTCTCTTTCTGTTATTTGTTTTTGTATTTCTGATGTGAGGTATTTGTCCACATCTCCAAGTGCTTATTTGAGGATATTTAATTCAGTTTGGAGTGTTGTGTTATAGTTTTCTTCAGCTCTATGCTTGGTTTTGGGGGAGAATTCTGATCAGTCAAAATGCTCTGATTTGCATTTCTCTTCTTTTTTCCCTGTAACAGTAGTTTTGAGTGCGTGTGTTCCGCCTTCTTCCACCCCATTCACTCAATGACAGCATTCTTCATTCGAGCACACCCGACGCTGTCCCTGATCAGCATCCTTTATGAATGGTATGTGTGTTGGAGGGGGAAGTTGGCTTTTCTTATTTCTCCTTTGTTGTTTTTTTTTTTTTAAAGATTTTATTTATTTTTTTCTCCCAAAGCCCCCCGGTACATAGTTGTATATTTTAGTGTGGGTCTTTCTAGTTGTGGCATGTGGGATGCCGCCTCAGCATGGCCTGATGAGTGGTGTCATGTCCGCACCCAGGATCCGAACTGGCGAAACCCTGGGCGGCTGAAACGGAGCGCGAACTTAACCACCTGGCCACGGGGCCGGCCCTTCTCCTTCGTTTCTTAAGATTCTTAATCCCCTTTCCTTCACTACCACATCTACAAGGAGGCCCACCCCTGCTCTGTGTGCCTGATTCTCCCCAAGAAGCAATGCTGCCCCTTCCACTCTTTCCAGACTCTTCCCTGTTGGTGGTGCTGTGAGTGGCTGTTCTGCCCAAACTGTTTTCGTATTTCAGCACTTGGTGTTGGACATTGAGAAAGTGATTTTGTCTGTGGCTCATCTGAGATCACCGCGCTCTGCTCCTGTTTTTCGCGCTCTCTCTCAAACCTCCTCTCCGTCACTCTCTGCTCCCACAGGCTTGCAGCTGCAGGCAGTGGGAGCTCTGTTGGAATTTGGATTATGTCTCTACTTCAGGTAATTCGAGGTTCACAGGTGGTTTTATTTCCTCTTTTTGTTGATTTACATTCTTTTGGGGGGAAGGTGAGCAGGGAGATTAGAAATTAGGGAGCCACCATTGTCCTCCAAGCCTGGATGTCCTGGTAAATGCATTTTAAATTCAGTAACACTGAAACTGGTCCTCACAGTGGGTGACAGTGCCCAGTTCCCTTCATCCTCACCAACGCTGAGAGTTTAGAATCTTCTCTAACCCCTCCCTCTGCAGTTCCTCAACGCCAGAGAGCCTCTGCTGAACCCTTTTGCTTTCACAAGTATTATTATTATAGGTTGCATACATTTTCCAGTCGTTCTCAAGTTGCGTCTTGCGTGCGTTTCCGTCTCAGCTGTAGGGTAAATTCCTGGAGGGCCAGGCTGGGGTTTTAATTCCCGCCTGGGGAGGGGGCATGCTTCGGGTGGGGAGGATTTATTACTAACAAGGCGGGGGAGGAGAGAGGGGCCCCAGGGCTCAGCGCAGGGAAGAGGAAGGCGCCCGCTCACTCGGTCATTGGGAAAGGGGGAGTGTCGGGAAGACAGGCCTCTGCGGGGGGCGAAAATGATGCCTCCCGTCTGCACCTTCAGCCTGTGCGCGTGCGCGCCTGTGGTCCCCGGCGCTGTCGCTGTCCTGAGCAGCCTCTCATGTCTTCCCAAGGAGCTCCTTGCTGGCAGCCTGGGCTCAGAACCCAGCTCTGCCACTGCCCCCTGTGCCCTGGGTGATAGCATACCCTCTCAGAAAATGGCTGTGAGCATTCAGAGAGCATGTGCGTAAAGCACACAGCAATAATAAAAATCTTTAAAAAAGGGCTGGCCCCGGTGGCCGAGTGGTTAAGTTCGCGTGCTCTGCTGCAGGCAGCCCAGTGTTTCGTTGGTTCGAATCCTGGGTGCGGACATGACACTGCTCATCAAACCACACTGAGGCGGCGTCCCACATGCCACAACTAGAAGGACCCACAATGAAGAATATGCAACTATGTACCGGGGGGCTTTGCGGAGAAAAAGGAAAAAAAATAATAAAAGTCTTTAAAAAAAGATAAAGCACACAGCACACAGCCCAACTCACAGTAGGCATGCATATGTGGAAGCTTTTAAAAAAAAAATCCTTGTATTCATTCATTGGTAAGGGTGTGTGGAGAACATTCCAATCTGAAGGACAGGCAGCAAAAGGCTTGGGCTGTTCAAGGTGCAGAAAGGAGGCTCCAAGTGGGGAGGGGAGCTCTGGTGGGGGGCAGGCTGAGCAGGGTCCAGTGCGTGCAGTGGGGAGCTGGTGACGGGGCGTGACACAGTCTTTAAAGAGCTTGCTCTTCGGAGGACAGCAGTTGGAGGGGAAGGGGCTGAGCTGTGCAGGTGAGAGATGCTGGGGGCCATGGGCTCACGCACACCTGGGGGCAGGAAGACACCTAGTGTGAACATTCTGAGGAGCTCAAAGTGCGTCATTGTCTCAAGCACCCTCACAATCTCCCCAATATTTGTGGGTCACAACAAAGAGAAGAGAGAGCCCACTGTCCATTTTATAGCTAGAGAAACTGAGTCTAAGAGGAATGACTTACTCCTTTAAAGCAAGGCAAGAGCTCCTTGAGTGGGTGCTTACCTAGGCCACCACTCCCCCGTTAGTTAAGGCTCAGCTGGACATCTTGTCTGGTCACCCCAGCCCACAGGGCTCTTTCTCTCTGTCATTGGTGTATGTGGGGATGGTCCCCTCGATCATATATTACTCGTGGCTATCTGTCCCTCCAGCTGTCCTTCCACCCATCCATCCACTTACCCAGCCGTCACTGAGCCCACAATGTGCCTGGTCCTGTGCCAGGCACTGGGCTGCTGGGACGGTGCAGGCACCTCCATAGCCTAGAGAGCTGGAACTTCTGTGTTATGGGTTGAATTGTGTCCCCTCAAAATTCATATGTTGAAGTAGTAACCCCATTATCTCAGAATGTGACCGTATAGGGTCACTGCAGATGTGGGCCCTAATCTAATAGGACTGGTGTTCTTACACAAAGGGTGAGAATGTGGACACAGAGACAGACACGACACGGGGAGAACACCAAGTGAAGACGAAGGCAGAGCGCGGGAGTGCTTCTACAAGCCAAATAGCGCCGAAGATGGCCAGCAAGCCACCAGAAGCTAGGCAAGGGGCCTGGAACAGATTCTTCCTCACATCCCTCAGAAGGAACCAACTCTGCTGACACCTTGATCTCAGACTTCCAGCCCCCAGAACTGTGACACAATAAACTTCTGTTGTGTAAGCAAGCCCAGACTGTGGTACTTTGTTCCACAGCCCTGGCACTAACACACTCGCGTAGGAGAGGGATGCCTGTGTGAGCCCCCTAATCTGGACTGGAAGTCAGTAAGAGCTTCCTAGAGGAGGTAATGCTGAGCTGGGCATTGAAGGATGGGTAGGAGTTTTTCAGGCAGAGAAGTCAGGAAAGAGCACTCTAGGCAGAGGAAAGAACATGTGCAAAACCCAGGAGGAGGCGTGAGTCTATGTCAGGGACTCTTCCTAGAACCTCTTTGAATTTCCATACTCCTGCCTGACCCCCAAACCCCTGAGCCCTGGAAACCCTCTGCCCACACCCTGTGCTCCAAGATAAGGGAAAAATTACTTTTACCGAGAGGCCGCTTGGTGACGTGCACTGCTCTCACCAGCAGGGGGTGCGCACACGAGCACATGGATGAGGGAAGATGGGCACAGGCAGAGGAACCTCCTGGCATTTGTCAGGATCCAAGGCCTCTGCTCTGGGGAGGAGGTGCAGCCAGCCCTGACAACGCTAGGGTGGGCAGCTCTGTGCTGGCCGAGGGCCCTCCCAGATCCCCACAGACACGCCACCCTTGGAGGCCACACACTCAGTCACACGGCCCTTGGTACAAGTACTTTATTACAGTTACAATAGTGCCACACCAAAACTACAGTAGCACAGAACATAATAATACAAAAAATAGATTCCCAGCTCCAAACCCACATTCATGGACCCACAGAGAAGCCAGCCCTATGCCTCTGGCTCTAAGGGGAGGGGTCTCTCGGAAGGCAGCGGCCCATCCCTCAGCCTTTTCAAAGCTCTGGAAGGGTAGGGGTAGGAGTAGCGGGGGACGCTTCCTTTGCTTCCATCCCTGCTGGGCCTGCGCCTTCCTCTCCCCGCCCCCCTCCCCCTCCCCCTCCCCCTCCTGAAGCAGCGAGTGCAGCCTCTGTGCCCTCTGGCTGGACCCTCAGCCCTAGGACGCTTGCTTCTGGCTGGGAGGTCCCAGTATGGTGCAGACCGACACTCTGGAGGCTGTGACCCTCCACGGGGAAGGAGGGTCGGGGGAGAGCAGGCCGGGCAGGGTCCAGGACTGGGAAAGCTACCTCTATGTGGCAAGGTGCGTGTGGCGGGCTCCTGCCCCTAGCTCCTTCTCCGGCTCTGGTCCTACCTTTCCTCTGAAGAGCCACTAGGCCTGCTGCTTGGGGGACCACGGCCTTATCTGGAGCCCACCTCCACTGCCCCTGCCCCAGCTCTGGGGCTGATGTGAAGGTGGGTGAGGCAGTGGCTGAGCTGTCTGCTCCTCTCTGGCAAGGAGGAGTCTGGCTTCCTGGGTGATGCAAGTGCACTGTGGCAGTGGGGGCTGGCCGGGGGTCTGGCCTGCTGAGATGGGAGCACCATGGCGGGCATGGGCTGCTCCTGCCTCAGTCACAGGTGCCTGCTTCCCCCAGAGGACCAGAGTAGGGCTACAATTAGCTCCACCTGGGGGAGCCCCTGAACTGTGACCTCAGGGAGGGGACAACATTGCTGGTCCCCTGACAGCACAGATCAGACTGACCAGGTTGGGGGAACCTTCCCCCCACAGCCTCCCAGGGCTGAAAACATCCCCCAAGAAGAAGAGCCCATCTAGCTACAAGTATTGTCTTAATGTAACCCAAGGGGCTGAGAGTGGGACGGAGGCCAGAGAAAGCTCAGGGGCTCCTCAGACTCCTGACCTGGGTGCCGCTGACCTGCAGGCCACAGCTCCTGGGCTGCTGTGAGAGGCAGCTCTGTGGGCACTGGGAGCAGGGGGTATGGCCTTTGTTACAGTCAGGACCCTTGGAGGATTCACCGAGGAGGCCAGGGAGCCCCGGGGGTGGGGGAGTGCCTCCTTGGGGTTGAGCCCAGGGCCACAGCTTCACATAAGGCACTAGAAAACGGAGGGTGAGCTGTCGCGGTCCCGGGAGCCAGGCCCAGGCCGGGGGGCGGAGGATGGAGCCCACAGGGAGGATTTGAGCTGCGTAGGGGAGCACAGCTCTTTTCTCTTTTCTCTTTCCTCTGGCGAGAGGGTCAGCAAGGGAGACCCTGACGTGGCTGGGATGGGGGGACTGCTGCAGAGGGAGCAGGCCCCCAGGATAGACATGGGGTAGCCAAAAGAAGAGGGACGGAAAGAGGACACCCCCGGCACAGCGGAGTATATCTTCGGGGGGGGTCTCAGCCTCGCAGGGCTCCCATGGTCCGGATCCAGGGTGCTTGAGAGCCCCAGACTAGGTTTGAGGACCCTGGCCTGGCCTCTCTGCCTCAGCTATCAGTCCCCAGCAGAGACTCTGGGGATCGACCTTCCTTGCTGAGGTTCCCACTTTGGACTCTGGGGACAGATGCAGGCATGCTGAGAGGGGGTTGCCAATGAGTTTGGCATCCTCGAGCTGGCCCCTTCCCCTGCCCGGCCTCCACGCCTCTCCTCTCTGCTCCAGGTGGCGGCAGAACCAGGTGACCGGGCTGAAACTGCATATCCCAAGGACTGAGGCAGCTCTCGGGGGACCCACTCAGCGGCTGGGGACCCTGCCTCAGCCCCACCTTGCAGCAAGTGAGGACGAGAGGGGCTAAGTCAGTGGGGCTTCCCTTGTCCACAGGTCATTTAGAAAAACAGAACATAATAAATATACCAATCCTTTCCTTAAAAAAAAAAAAGTGTTTTAAATGCATTATTTCCCTGAAGATTTCCAGTGTATTCCACATGTTTAAAAAATAGTTTCCCCAAAAATATATCTTTAAAGCATTTGACACAGTGGTATTTGTGGTGTATCTGGCGCTGGATGTGGGCAGGGGGCTGTGTCCCACTGCCCTTGTCGGCGGGGGGCCCAGGCCTGGCGAACAACCAGCCTGAAACCCAAATGCCCGTTAGAGGTGACGCACGTGTGCCTGGGATGACAGGGTCTTCACAGGGGATCAAACCTCGGATTATGTTGAGAACCCACATCGCAGGCTCAGTTCCAGCTGAAAACCCTCCAGTGCCGGGAAGGGGGCCCCAGGTGGCCAAGGGGGCTGGGCGATGCCCTGGACACCGGATGGAGGCGCAGCCTTGTTGGGCGCCCCCTGGGGCTTGTCCTCGGCCCCTCCCCCTCCTCCATCCTGGCTCTTGGTGCTTCGCTCCTCACCAGACTTCACACTTGTGATGGGGGTTCATAGGGGAGCCGGGCGGGCACTGAAAGTGTTCCGAGAACTCCCTGGAGTTGGAGATGGAGCCGATGACCCGGAAGCGGGAGGGGCTGTGGGGATCGGTGATGAGGCCTTCATGGGAGCTCTCGGGCGTGCGGACGGAGCACCAGACCTTTGTGAGGGCAACAAGGGAGAGGCAAGGGTCACTGTGGGGTCCTGAGGCCGCCACATAGGCCTCATCCACAGTAGCAGGGGAATGAGGCCCCACCTGGTTCTGAGACCCTAGGGTATCAGGAGGGCCTGCTAAGTGGGTAAGGAAGAAAAGGGGGCTGGTGTGTCCCCATCCTAGCATCCACTACCAGTGTTTCTAACTGCGTTCCCGCAGCCAGAGCAGTGTCCCTGTCTGTCCCAGGCATCTGGGTTAGACTTCATCTGACCGAGGGATTCAGCCCCCAAACCAGTTTGGAAACCTCAGATTGAGTCCAGATCACTCACATCCTGGGCAGAACAAACTGCCCAATGGCCTGGTAGCTCTGGGTGCCAACAGAAGGCTATAAGCTGAATGCAGCTCAAAGGACAACCTGGGGCATCTAAAAATCTTTTCTTTTCTTTTTTTGAGGAAGACTGGCCCTGAGCTAACATCCATACCCATCTTCCTCTACTTTATATGTGGGACACCTGCTACAACATGGCTTGCCAAGCAGTGTACAGGTCTGCACCCCGGATCTGAACCGGGGAACCCTGGGCCACTGAAGCGGAATATGCGCACTTAACCGCTGCACGCCCCAACCTGGAACATGCGCACTTAACCAGGCTGGCCCCAACCTGGAGCATCTTGAATCTGAGAAATTTCCAGAACTCCAGAACCAGAAGGCCATTAGCGATCACCTTGTCCTCTCATCTACCTGATGCAGGAATCCTTTTAATAGCATTCTTCACCCTTCCTTGACTCTCTCAAGTGACAGGAAGTTCACTTTCTTACAGGGTAAATGCCCTGTGGATGGTCCAATGAGCTAGGAGGCTCCTAATTTGAGGGGAACTTGCCTTTTGGCTCTCGGGGCTCCTGGAACATCAAGATGGCAGAATTTGCCTGAGTTTGGCTTTGTCCTCATGAACTCACCTGCGCAAAGCCCAGGAAGAAGAGCTGGTTATTGGTGAGACCCAGGGTGGGCAAGGTCTGCTCAGCCCCGTTCTTCTTCACCCAGTTCTGGTAGGCCTGGGAGGGGAGAAAGCAAAGCTCAGGGGTCCCATGACACAAGAGCAGGCAGGGTGGCGACGGGGGCTAGTGTGGGAGATCTCAGAATTTCCACTCTGTCGGGGCAGGGACTGGCTTCTGGGTGTATCACCCACCCCACCTAGGTACTCAGGCCCGAACCCTAAAATTTTCTTTGATTCTTCTCTTTCAGTCAAAGCAAACAACCCCAAATCTGACCATTTCTCTCATACTTCCCATTGCTCCATCCCATCTCTTGCCTGGACAACCTCACAGTAGTTTTCTAACTAGTCTCCTTGACTCAAACTCAGAGTTGACATAGCAGCTTCACTCATCGTTAGAAAGCAGGGGCTGGCGAACTTCTCTGCCAAGGGCCCGAGGGTAAGTCTTTCAGAGGTTACACGGGCTCTGCTGCAACTACTCAGCCTGACGCTGTGGTGTGAAAGCAGCCACAATCTGGAAACAAATGGCTGCGTCCCCCCCAGACCAGTATTTGAACCCACAACTGGCTCCATGACCAGTGACCCCTCCCTTGCATCTCGGGCCCCTGCTGCCTGAATGGGTGTGGCTTCCCCTGCAAAGGTAAGAACAGGCAGGTCTTTAGGTGCGGCCAGCCCGAGGTCTCCCCTGTGGCTCTCAGTCGGGCCGGACTTGAGGGTCGAATGCCTTCTCTCCACCGAGCTGTGCGAGGTGCCTTCACAGCCACCCCCTCACCCGGTCCTCACTCCACCCATCTCACGGATGAGGAAACCAGAGCTCACGGAGCGGCCGCAGCTGGCTGCCGCGTGTCTGAGGAGCCAGACGTGGGCCCGGGGCGTGTGGGGAGGGGGCCTCTCACCCGATAGGCCGCCTTGAGGCCCCCGTTGTCGGCGATGTTCTCCCCGAGCGTGTGCCGGCCGTTCACCGGCTCCCCGTTCACGCTGTAGTTGCCGTACTGCCCCACCATGCACTCGGTCTGCTGCTTGAAGGCCTCCACGGACGAGTTCTTCCACCAGGGCCGGAGGTTCCCATCCTTGTCATACTCCCTCCCTGCAGGGTCCGAGGGAAGCGTTGGGTCAAGGGGAAGAAGAGGCAGGGCCAGGGCCAGCCGCTGCTGACTCCTCCCGGGGAGACTGGATTCAGGTGGCCGTCCACCCGTCTCCCGACCGGCACTGGGGAGCTGATGCTGGTCTGAGCGTGAAGGAGCTGGATGAATGAGCCAATCCAGGTGGCGGCAGAGGAGATGGAGGAATGCGATGCACGCTGGCCAAGGGCCTCTGCCTGGAGTCCCGCAAGGGGTATACAGAGCTGGCAGCGCCAGGGTCAGGGGACGGGCCCCGGCCTCCAAGGTCTCACCTCCTCCTTCTCAGCCTTGGGGTTTCCAAGGCAGGAGGCACTGAGGATTCTGGACATTAGCTGGTGAGGGGACTAACTTCAACTCCTCTGACTGAGGTCAGACAAGAGAAGTCTCTGGAGTAGTGGAGAAATGTACACTCCCCACTGACTACAAAAAATATCCACCCCTAAGTACTGGACACCTTCCAGGAGCAGGGTGCTCTACTGTGCCCATTGTACAGACAACAAAACAGAGGCGTGGAGAAATGATGGGACTTGCTAAAGTTCACACAATCGGCAGGTGGCTGGGCCAGGATTTGAACCCAGATCCTTCTGTCTCTAAGGCTAAGACCCTTGGACGTGAAAGGAGCAAAAGCCGAAGCAGCGGGGCCAGGAAGCTGATGGGCTCTGTCTGAAGGGGATCCCGAGGATGCTGTACCTTGATCATCAAAAGCATGAGTCAGCTCATGGCCCACGACGACACCGATGCCACCAAAGTTTAAGGCCCTGGAGGGGAAGACACAGAGGGGAAGGTGATGCCTCAAGGGGAGAGACCATCACTTCCTGGGCCTAGAGACACAGCAGAGTCCCTCAGGGCTCTGTGGGGACATAGCCGCAGCCTGAGCCTCCAGACAGGCCCCTGAAGCCAGTCAGAGTCTGGGTGAGTTGGCTGGGGTCAGCCTGGGCCCCCTGCACTGTGCTAGATGCCCCACAGACCTGCGCTGTCCTCTTCGGTCATCTCAGAAGAGTGCGGCGTTATTAACCGACTCTGTAAGTGAGCCACCCAAGGCTTGGACCGGTTCAATCACTCTGCCCAGGGGCCACACAGTCAGCAAAGAGCAGACCTGGGATTCGAATCCAGGCTCGTGTGGATTTCATTTCCCGGACAGTGTGCCACCCCCCACCACCCCAGCTGTGACTGTTCTCAAACATTGTTAGAGGGGCCTCCCCCCATAGACGGCTCTTGACTCCACAACACGCCCCAAGTTCCCAGTGTGCAGAGGAAGCACAGCGAGTGAGGACGTGGTTCCCCCTGCAGCTTCTCTGCAAGTCTCAAGCCGCCTGGGCCGGTGGGGCAGAGAGCAGTCAGTGAGACTGGCTTGATCACATGTTCAGCTGTAGGCCATAGGGCTGGGCCAGGCTGGGGGGCCGCAGAGGGTGGGGAAAGGCGATGGGGCGGCAGCTCCAGGAGCATCCTACTTGGGTGAAGAGCGGGTGTAGAACGGGGCCTGCAGGATCCCGGCCGGAAACACAATCTCGTTCTTGGTGGGCGAGTAGTAAGCGTTCACCATGGGTGGGGTCATGCTCCACCTGCAAGCAACACACACGTGAAAGGTCAGGCATGGCTTGGGGAGGCGCGTGGGGCAGCGCAGCTGGAGGCTATCAAGAGCCTTAAAAATGTGACTCCCCTTGACTCTAGGCCCAAGTGCACCCACACGCAAGAAAATCCACAGCAGCACTGTCTTTGAGAGGGGAAAACTAGAAAACACTCAAATGTCTATAAAGAAGGGATCGGTGAAATCTGATGTCACACCGCACAATGGAATCCAGAGGCTCTTACAAAGAGCAAGATGGACCACATATATTGAAAAGTCTCCACCGTCTAGGCTCAAAATGTATCAATCAGCAGTTCTTAAAGTGGGTCTGTGGACACCTGGGGAGGGGGGTCCTCAATTCCCTATCAGGGGGTCTGCACGGTCTATTTTCATAATAATGTTAACATGTTATTTGTCTTTCCCACCATGTTGATGTCTGCACTGATGGTGTAAAAGCCACAGTGGGTAAAAATGGCAGAGCCTCAGCTGAATCAGCAGTGGCACCAATTATTCTTGTGGTCACCGTGTTCTTCACCAGAAAAAAAGGTGAAGTGTCCATTGTCACTTAAGGACGTCCTTGATGACGTAGCATCATTATTAATTTCATTAAATCCAGGCCCTCAAGTATGAGTCTTTTAATATTCAGTGCGACCAAATGGGAAGGACACATAAGCACTTCGGCCTTTTTCAGGGAACATCCTTTGCCCCTGAGGGGGTGACTGACAAACTATGGCATTTCGGACTGGGGTCTCTGGCAGGCATTTTCTTGAAAATGAATAAATTGAGCTCATCACCTCAAGGGAAACAACTGACACCATTGGTTGCCAATGATAAAAATTTGAGGTTTCAAGAAAATTTGAAGTTTCAAGCAAAAAGTAAAATTCTGAAAAACTGGTATCGATCACCACAAACTGAACTATACTTTCCAACACTTAAAGACTCTTCTCAGGAGGTCAGCGGTGATATTAACAAATGTGGATTTTTTTTTTTGGATATGGTCTAATGACAGGGTCATTATTTGGAAGATACGGAAAACTCAGTGAGCCACTGTTTTCCAAATGACCAAGGCATGGTGTTACAAAATCACGCACAGGTACAAGACCCATTCAAAGGGCAAGACAGATGGAGGGATTTTAAGAGAGTAGGAAAAGTTCACGGATATGGTTTCAGATTCCACAGTGCAATGAATCTTTAAGAAATTATGCCTTGTTGAGTTTTGGTGTAGTATCAGTGAAAAATGCACAAGTATCAGAAAAGACTATTAAACTATTCCTCCATGTTACAACTGCATATCTGTATAAAGATAGTTTTGCTAAGTATTTCAAAATAACACACTGCAACAGATGGAATGCAGAAGCAGGCCTGAGAATCCAGCTGTCTTCTGTTAAGTCAGACATTAAAGAGATTTGCAAAAAGTAAAACAATACCTCTCTTCTCACGAAACTTTTTTTTCTTTAAAGATTGGAGCCTGAGCTAACAACTGTTGCCTCTTTTTTTTTTTTTCCTGCTTTTTCTCCCCAAAGTCCCCCAGTACATTGTTGTATATATTGTTTTTAGTTGTGGGTCCTTCTAGTTGTGGCATGTGGGATGCCGCCTCAGCGTGGCCTGGCGAGTGGTGCCATGTCCATGCCCAGGATCCGAATCAGCAAAATCCTGGGTCACTGAAGCGGAACACGTGAACTTAACCACTCAGCCATGGGGCCAGCCCCTAAACTTTTTAAAAAAATAGTTCTTTTTCATAGAATTTGCATAAAAATTGATATAACCTCCATAAACAAAAAGCTCTTTGGGGTCCAATAATTTTTTTAAGAGTGTAGAAGGGACCCTGATGGTATATAGTAAGGAAACATTTGGCCTCTCAATTATTTTTCTGGTGTGGAGGGGAAGGCCAGTGAGGAGTGGACCGAGACAGAAGGGACATTTTCTCCAAGAGCCTGGACAGTCACTCTGTCTCCTCCAGGTGTGCCCCACAGAGATGTGTTAAAAGGTGCCTGAAGCCATGGGAAGATATTGAGGAATTTAAAACATCATATTTATATTCAAATAATCATGGATATATTAATAGGAGACAAAATTTAAATGAAAAACTAAAAGACTTCAGAGAAATTCAGAAGCTGTGGCAGTACCTGTGCCCTATTTTGGAGATAAAATACTGCCTTCGTGTGCGTTTAGGGGGTACTCTGGTTGAAGACAAGAAACTTAGAAGAAACAGAGATGGTCAAACCCATGTTTTCCACGAGGGGGCGCCAGAGGCAAAGAGAAGTTGCCCTCACCTTTTGGTGAGATTTATTCCCAAACCGTTCTAAGCAGGAGGGAGCTTAGTCTGAGAACTAGTACTGGGTTGACCATTCCGGAGTTTTCTGAGGAGACTGTTGAAAAAATAGGTATCAGGTCTCACTCCAGATTATTTTGATTTAAGAGGGTCTGGGCACAGGCCAGGAAGCTGCATTTAAAACAAAAATTCCGCAGAGTTCTACTGTGCAGGGAGGTTCGGGAACCACGGCTGTCAGAAGCCCACCCAGAATCTCGCCTCTGTGGGGGAACTGTGTCTGAGAACCCGCCACTCCTGTCAGTGCGGAATTACGGGAAACCAGCCGGGGGCCCCCTCCGTGCCAGACACTTCCCAGAAGTTCTCGCACTGGACTGTCACAGCCACCCACGAACCGGCTCCTCCCATCCCATCCGCAGATAAGGACGCAAAGGCTTCGGAGGTTGAAGCGGCAGAGCTGGATTGATGCCAGGTCTGCTCGACTCTAGAGGCCAGACCACTCTGCCCGAGGGCTGGGTGCCGGGGCAAACAGACTCGAGCTGATCCCAGCTCCTGGCTGGGCAACACTTTCTTGGTCTTTGGTTTCCTCATCTGAAAAGTGGGATAACAACAGGACCCACTCCTCAGGGGCCCTTCTGACAGTTACATCCGGCACGTGGTCAGCGGTGCGGCGCCGGCGAGCTCAGCCCTGAGCGTCCCCACGTGCCTTCCTCGCGAGGCCCGGGACTCACTGATCTCTGTTGGGAGCTTTCCGGAGCTGGTCGGCAGTGACTCTCCAGGAGAAGTTGAAAAACCGCATGGCGTTCTCGAAGTAGAGGTCCGGAACCGCGGTGTACTGGACAAGAAAGAGCAAAGTCCAGGATCAGGGCCCGTGCAGGCGGGAGGCACCTTGGATCCTCGAGTGCAAACCCCTTCTTCTAAAACTGAGCGAACCAAGACCCCGCAGGTTAAAGGTCTGGTCCGCGGGTCAGAGGCTGGAATGGAGGGCTCGGGGCTGCGGGTTTGGCTCCTCCCTAGGTCCTCACCCTGCGGGGGCCTGGCACCCTCTCCCCTTCAAAGACATGCTAAGAGCCTCCACCGCCCAACACCCACAGTGTCACAGGGCTGCACGGACCTCAGGCAGGAACTATCTCCAGCAGAACCTTCTGTGATGACGGACATGCTATGCCTGTGTTGTCCACTATGGTAGACACCAGCCCCATGGGGCTACTGAGTATTTCAAATGTGGATAGTGTGACTCTCAGTTTAAAGTAATTTTAATTTAGAAATTAATTAGTTAAATAGCCATCTAAGGCTTGTAGCTACCACACGGGACAGCACAGATCTCATAAATCAAGGCGGGACCTATCTCTGAAACATCCGGGGACAGGCCTCATTGCACATCACCACCCACTCCGCCCAGCCCTTTGGTTCTTCTCAGGTGCAAGGTTCTCCCTTAGATCCACTCAAGACCTTTCTGGCTTCTCGTCAGGGCTCTGGGAGAACGCTGGGCCCTCGGGGACAGGACTCTGATCCTGTGGGCTCTGCTGGGCTTCCTCCAGGAGCCCCTGGTCTACATCATGACACCCTGGGGCATCTTAAATGATTCTCAAGGAAAAAGGCTGCAGTATGTGTCCCATATTCTCAAGTAATTTTAATATTCTTAGGTTTTAAATATAACCATAATGAGAGGTTATTATAAAATGCCTGAATTCACAAATTTCTATCACAAGAAGATGTGAAACTTTACCTTTGGGGGCAGAAGCACAATCCATTTAAAACTGATTTGCCAAGAGCCCTACCCCCAGGGATGTACCAAGCACCCCTGCTGCCTAATGAAGCTGAAACTCGCATCTAGGATTCACGCCTCCTCCTCTTTTCCATCAGCATTTCGAGGTGCAAATGCGAAGGTTTCTCCGGGACGGTGAGGGAGGCGTCTGGGGGTAGGAGGCGACTCTGGGGGCTGGGAAGGAGGCGGTGGCATGAGGGGCTCTACTCTTTACTGCACCCCTGATGTTTTAGGGGCGCCAGTTCTCTCCGCACCTGCTAGGATTGGTTACCTCCATCATCTCCCACTCATAACGGAGCTGACCACTTCCAACGGGGCATGTTGCTGGTACCGACTGCCGGTGGCTCCAGGGAGGCAGAGGCCTCCAGCTGGCCCGGGAGAGGAAGGAGCAGCAAACAGCTTCCTCGTGCCTGATCCACCCCCAAACCCCACACCACAGCATCTCAAGATGTCTCGACAGTTATGGTGCCTCTGGCATCCCATCTGGTCCCAATCTGCCTTTGTCCTTTCCCAGGTGGGGACCCCCATGGGCATTGGGGAATGCAAGGGGGCAGGGTGGGAGCCACTCACGTCGTTGAACACTTTGTCAAGCTCCTTGGGGTCCATGATAAAGTTGGGATAGCCTATCATGTTGTAGATTGCATCCGCCTGGACAAAAGAGACACAGAGGACGGTGAGCACCCAGCAAGGGTGGCAGGGCTGGCCCCAGCTCTGTGCGTGCCGGGCTCAGGCTCTGCGCCAAAGGGAAACATGGCCAGGCTCCTCCCACCTCACGGCTTTCACATCTTTCTGGAAAGATTCCTCTCTTGCACTGCTTATCCTTTGGCTCCCTGCTTAAATGTCACTTCCCAAGGGAAGCCTTCTCTGGCCACCACCCCACTGGGCTGCACCAGATCCTTCGTCACGTCTCCCTGCACCTGCCCTCACACACTTAGCACGGTTTGCTTTCACACAGTCATTAACACGATCCTGTGTTCAAGGCCGTTCCTCCATCCTGCCGGACTGTCCGCCCCCTGAAGGCAGGACAGCATCCTTGCTGTGCTCACCACATATAACTAGCCTCTCCCTCATCCACCCTCCTCCATCTGTGGCTGCTGCCTCTGTGCTCAGCCACCCCCTTCAGTCCCTGGCGAGCCTCACCTTCTCCTTGGCTGACTTCCGAGTGTCTTCATCCATCCACTTCAGGGTGCTCAGGCTCTCCTCAAACGCCTTCTTGATCTCCAGGATGATCTCGCTAGCCTGAGGGGACAGAGGCTGACAGTCAGGTCGGGGCACTGGACCTGCCTAAATGCACTGGGCGCCCCGTGCAGAAAGATAACGCCAGGCCAGCGGCTGAGCTCAGGTCCTGGCTCAAAGCCTCAGGCCCCCAGGTGCAGACTAAGAAGGGGAGTCCCAGCCAGGCTCTCCCAGCCTGGTCCTCAGACCACTCACGCCCTGCAGGCCAAGCCTGGACTTCCGTAAACAGGGCTCATGGGCAAATACACTTAGGACAAGCTTTGGGAACGTCGGAAAAACCTATTCCCTGCGGCCTTTTCAGAGCCTTTATGTGTAACACGTGCTACAATTTTTTCCCAAAAGAACTAGAATACATAGCCTTTCCCAGACTTAGCGAGCCACAGAATTCCTTTTTGATGGAATGGCTTTAAAATCCAGAGAACTGGAGTTCTGAGGAGCAGTCTCTGAAATGCTCTGCTCAGGCTGGACATGAACAGCTGCTCTCAAGGGCAGTAATATCACGGCAGACCTGGAGGCCGAAGATTCGAGAGCCAGGGACGGTGGAATCACGCAGCAGAAAGAGCACAGGGGCTGGCGGCCGGCAGAACTCAACTCAGATTCTGCATCAGCCGCTAACAGGCAAGTCTCACGACAGATGTGAGTCTTGGTTTGCTAACTTCCACTGCAGATACTACGTATAGAATATTAGTAATAAACACTGTAACAATATAACAGCTACCATTTATCGGGCCCTTGTTTTGTGCCAGGCGCTCTTTATGTGTAGTATCTCATTTAATCTCCTGCTGCGGGATGGAGCTTCCACCTCTACGTTATGGGGGAGGTGAGAATATTGTCCCAAGTCACCAAACCGGGAAGTGGTTGAAGCCTGGCTGTCTCCACGGGCTTAGCATGATGTTCCTCTGCCCGTCCAGAATAAACCTGTCATCCACGGGGTAGGAAAAAATGTCACCCTCTAGGCCAGAGCTGCTCTGCCAACATGGTCTTGCCGGGTCCTTCACCTCCTTGAGGCGGAGATGGCTGAAATAACCTTGCCGGGCTGTGGTGAGGATTAAACGGGAACAGACAGAGTGCCTGGCACTCAACAGTAGCTGTTCCGAGTAACTCACGTTATCCAAGGCTTTAGAAAAACGGACCTCTGAGTTGAGGCTGGAGCCTGGCCCGGAGGAGGGAAAGTCCAGCGCAGACCAGAGTGTGGGCTGTCAAGTTCACAAGGGGCCATCGTGGGCACAAGGTCACAGCCTATGTCCACAGGGGAGGCACTTACTATGTTTTTGCTGTCCTCAGCGAAGGTGGCTTTGACAAACATGGGGCCCAGGGCAAAGCCCAGGTTGTTTTCTGTGTCACTCACGCAAAACTTCCAGCGAGGAAGACAGGTCTGGAAACAAGCGAGAGGGTTACTCAGCCCTGTCCTTCCCGACCCCTGTCAGTCTGGGAGGTGGCACCAGCTGGCGCCCGGGCTCCCTTCCAGAACTTCAGGGAGACCTTTCCTGACCCAGTGGAAGTTATTTTAGGCAGTGGACCAAGAGGCCATGGAATATCGCTCATCACCGCCATCAACTATTTCCTGAATGCCAGGCTCTGTGCACAGCACTTCACAAACAGTATCCTATGGAGCCATCACAATGAGCCTGTGAGGCCGGGATGACGGGCCCTGACAGATGAGGAAACGGGGACAGCCCGGGGAAGTCACTGGTGCAGGGGCCCAGAGTGACCAGAGCTCAGCCATGCCTGACCCCACACCCTCTGCTCCCACCCCAACCTTGTCAGGCCTCCTAGAGGAGGCTAAGAAGCCTGGTGGCAAAGAACCTTGGGAAGTTGCCTTGTCTACCCCCGAGCAACAGGAAAACCTTCAGAGGGCCAGGACCCCAACCCCATTTAAAGTCTCCTGGAAAAAGAACTGCCACGGCGACACTGCAGGACTTTGCCGCCTTTGTCCGTCCCTGGTCTCACCCTCCAGCCCCTTAGCCCCTAGGACGCCTCTGTGCGAGCTGGAGACAGGCGCCCCGTGGGGCTGCAGCCTCCCAGAGGCAAGCACCCCAGCTAGTTTCAGCCCCAGACAGCTCGCCGTGGACAGTACGTGTGACCACCAGTGCAGGCCCTGCTCACGGAAATGCCTCGTGCTGCAGAGGAAGCCCAGCCCTTAACCCTGCGGAACAGGTGGTAAACCCCCTGCGGCAGAGGGCAGCCCGCTTCGCAACAGCCCTCCATGGAAACACCCAAATGCCCGTCAATGGGCAGACGGATACACAACGGGGGTTTTTTTGAGGAAGATTAGCCCTGACCTAACATCTGCTGCCAATCCTCCTCTTTTTGCTGAGGAAGACTGGCCCTGAGCTAACATCCCTGCCCATCTTCCTCTACTTTATATGTGGGATGCCTACCACAGCATGACTTGCCAAGCGGTGCCATGTCTGCACCTGGGATCCGAATCGGCGAACCCCGGGCCGCTTAAGCAGAACATGCAAACTTAACTGCTGCGCCACCGGGCCGGCCCCAAAATGGGGTATTTTTATACAACAGCACACCACTTGACAACAAAAAGGAAAGAAAGCCTGACATCCGCAACATGGATGGATTTCGCAGACATTATGTTGAGCAAGAGAAGCCTGACACAAACGAGCACATGGCGTATGATCTGTCTACTCCCATCCACACCCACCTCGGGGGGCAGGGTAGGGGCCCGGTGGGAGAGCAGCACGAGGAACCTCCCGCTCAGAGGATGCTGGGTAAATAGGGGATGGAAATGTTCTCTGTCTTGATGGGGTCGTGGTTATACGGCGATTTCATTTGTCAAATCTCACTGAACTGTGTACTTAACGTACACGTTTATCGTATGTAAACTGCACCTTAAAAACATTTCTTCCAGGCAAGAAGGCAGAAAGGGAGAAGGAAAGGCACTCAGCCTTCTCTAGCTAGTTGCTCACGTTCTTTTAAGCTTCCCACCATGTGTCCACTTGAATACCCTCCCCTTCCCCCGACCCCACCCGCCCTTCCTCAGCTGTGAAGCCTGCGGCTGGACACAGGCTGCACCGGGATCTGGAGAGGCCGACCCGGCAGAAGGTCAGGACCGGGGGATTCTAACCCCTGGGCCCCATGGCGGCTCCAGCCTGTGAGGCCGGATCATGGACCGATCCTTCTTCATTGTCTTCCCAGGAGATTCTCTGGACAAACCCATTCGTTCACACATGCGTTCATTAATTCATGAATCCAGTGCTCTGAGCAGCTCCTCTGCACCCTGACTGTGCGAGGGCTTCAGAATCTAGAGACGAACGGTACGCGGGCCTCACTCTCAAACGGCTCCGTAGGGGAAGCCCAGAACGCACAGCGGGAGAGGTGGACACGTAACAGCAATGGCAGCCATAGTGGCACATGTTTATTGAGCGTGTGATGGGCCCTCTCCCATGGAATCCTCCTGATAACCCTACGAGGCAGGGACTCTCATGCTTCTTTTTGCAGATAAAGAAACTGAGGCACTGAGCAGTTAAAGCACTTGCCCAAAGGGATCACCCAGAGAGTAAGTGGCTGAGGTGGGATCTGAACCCAGGAAGTTGGAATCCACTGTCTTCCCTCCAAAAGGCCACCCTCGCTGCCTCCAAGTCATGAAGTCCCTGCAGGGGCTACAGGACGACGAGAAAGTCCGAGCAAGAAGCAAGCATCAGGGAGCACTCCTCTCAGGGCTGAGCTATGAGCCAAGGCGGGGACAAGGAGTAGGTGGCCGGCCAGCCTCGTCCACCCTGCACTGGCCGTATTTTTCCCTCTTCTTCACTGTCACACAAGGAGCTCTAAGATCAGAGTGGGGGAGAGGGGTTTCCCAGCGGAGGTGCCGTCCTCCCCTGGGAACTCTCAAATCGTAAATGGATGGTAACTGACGACCAGTGGCTGGCGTGGCGCGCTGCAGCCCTTAGAACAGACTTTGCGGGGTCCCCTCGTGTAATCCAAGATGACCCTCCGGTAAGCAGGGCAGGGATTAGTTACCCCTTTTTACAGACGGGAAGACTGAGTCCCCTGCTCCCATTAAGTGACTTGCCCAAGGCTGGGTGCTTAGAAGAAGCATTTCAAACTCAGATCTTCTGACCCAAAATTCCATGCTGTTTCCGTAAGTTACGTTCCCTCCCTACAAGGATGGGCAACTGGATGCCCTGCTCAGCTTGACAAACTAAAAGTCTTTTCCCGAATGGAGGCCATTCCCAAAGGTCCTCTGAGATGAGGTCAGGGATGATCCTACACAACAGATGAGGACACTGAGGCTCAGAGAGGTACAAGGACTACCTACGGTCACACGGCGGGGACGAGGCTTTGAGGTGTGCTGGACACAACTGGACGGGCCTGGCCTGGGCCCAGAGGCAGCCGTGGTGGGGGTTGGGGAGGGCTGGAGAATAAGGAACGGATGAGCAGCAGCATCTGCCTCTCAGCCCTGGGGCACCCAGCGACCCCTGGCTCAGAGCGTCCTGCCTCGGGGGTCTCCCAGCTGCCCTGCCCTGTGCCCCACCAGCCCTCAGCATCTCATTAGTCAGAGCAGCACCCCACACTTGGAGCCTGGCCCCAGGGAGGAGCTCCATCGATCCATCTGCCTATTTATAATCGTGGTAAAATGTATGTAAGATTTACCATCCTAACCACTTTCAGTGTTGAGTTCAGTGGCGTTAAGTGTATTTACACTGTTGTGCAACCAATCTCCAGAACTTTCCATCTTACAAATCTGAAACTCTATATCCATTAAACAACTCCCCATTGCCCTCCGCCCCCACCGCCCCCAGGCCCTGGCGACCCCCAGGAGGCTCAGTTTTGACTTCTGGTTCCTCAGAGCAGAGGCTGAGTGGTGCAGACTTGGGGGTCTGGGCTGTGGAATCTGAGGTGCTGGGTTTGAGAGCCCACTCGCCACTGACGAGCTGTGCAACTTTGGACAAGTCCCCTCCCCTCACTGAGCCTCGGTTTCCTCATCTGTAAAATGGGACGACGAGAATAATTCCTAGCATACAGAGCTATTGTAGGAACTTGGTGAGATAATGCCTATAAAAGGCAAACATCTGATAACAATATCTTCTATTATTATCATTGTCATTAGTGAGTAGCTGAAAGGGCTGAAGAGTCCTCATCATCCAGACCTAGCTCTGAACTTGAGCTTGGCTGTTTCCTTGCCGGGTGACTTGGGAAATCCCTTTACCACCCTGAGCCTCAGTTTGCTTATCTGGACCCCGGTGGGTGAGCAACACTGCAGGTGCACACTCCACACAGCCATCTCTCTGTGTCTGAAGAAGCAGTACTGGGGGCACCCTATGTAAAAGGGAATGATGATGGTACCCACCTCACAGTATGTGAAGATCACACGAGTTGTACAAGGAAGCATTTATCATCATCGCCACCAAGGAGGAGTCAGAAAGGAGAGAACAGAAGCTTCCTTTTGCTATAAATCAGCTAAGTCGCTAAAACTCCTCTTTAATCTCTAAGACTTGGTGTAATCACCTCTTCCTGGAAGCTTCTGTCCACCCCCCGCTGGCTGTGAGCCCAGGGACAGCTGGGCAAACCCTTTCGGCACCCTCTTCATTCTCTGCCTTTTTCTACCTCCCTCACGAGTTCCACGGCCCTGGAGGGTACGGTGGTCGCACCAGCCCCCAGCCCAGGACCTGGCACACAGTAGGTGGTCAGCACTTGAATGGGAATGCACATCACAGGCTCACCTTCTTGGTCCCGTACATGACTTCCATGAACTTCTCGTCGGCGTCCTGAAAGCGCTGATCGAGGAAGGAGCTTGTCTTCCGCACCAGGTTCCAGATCATGTAGTTGTTCAGCAAGCTGGGGGAAGAGGAGACCAGGCAGGCTCAGAGGCGCCCTGGGGCTGGAGCGTCGTAGGACATCCCCAAAAGGCCTCTAGGGGGTGCTCAGACCGGGCCTTCTGCCCCCAGACTCCCTCCCCACCTGCCCCAGTTTGGCTGGTTACTGCTCTCTAAGCACATGGGACCTTAGCTCTTCAAGGGTGGGGCTTGGGCCTTCTGTTGAAAACCCCTCAGTGGCTAGTGCAGTGACACGTACACCACAAGTGCTCAATAAATGCTGGTTGCCTTGCTGCTTTTGTCTAGAAACTGCGAAGCAGCAGCATGGAGACACACCCTGGATGGTGTGTGCTACTGAGCAAGGAGGGGGCTGGAGATGCCCAGCCAGATGGCCAGAGATTGGAGAGGGGCCCTAAGAATCAGAGGGGCAGGAAAGGAAGCCCTGGCAGCCAGGCCAAGGTCTCCAGGAAGGAGAGCCTCACTGCCCTCGCCCCCAGGGCACAGAGAACTATCTGTGGCTGTTGTCACCTTTGCACAGAAGTCATCTTAGCACAAAGAGCTGTTCACTGAAGTGAACATCTAGCCTCAAACTGGAACCAACCTAAACATCCGACAACAGGGGAAGGAGTGAGTGAACAATCATGTTTATATTCAGTAGAATACTATGTAGCCATGAAAAAGGAGCTATGCAGAGGATTTGGATGACATGGGGAAAATGCCTATGATGAAGGTCAAGGGGAGAGCAGAAAATACATGCAGTCACAATAATGGGGAAAAAAGGAACCATGTATTAGAAAATTCATCTTTTTCATATACACGCTGTCTTTCTACATATGCACACTCACCAACACACACACACGTCCCATAAGATCAACAGTAGTGTTTTGGGTAATTTTAATTTTTTTATATAGTTCTCAAAAATTTCTAGAACAAATCTTTGAAATTTGAAAAAAACCCTTAAGTATTAACTAAAAATATTAGCTAACATTTACTGAGTCCCATTCCGTGTAGGCATTATGTTAAAACACCTCACAGGGATTATTTCACTCGATTCTCACAGCAGCCCTACCCGGCAGGCGCTGTCTGATGGATCCCCATTGTACCGTGAGGAAAAGGAGTCTGAGACACGTAAGAAACTTGCCCGAGGCGACAGGCTGGCAGGTGGAGGGGCCCTGCCGCCTGTTGTAAAAGCCAGCTGCAGGGCCCACGTCCTGAGTCCGTCTGCCATCCCTCCACCAGACCCTACCCTGCCTGAGAAGAGGGCAGCAATGTGCGACCCCAAAGGCTGCCTGGGGCCCCTTACCACTTGTCGGTGGTGTTGATGAGGGTGGAGACCTGCCCAAGGTACTCCTTGTCGTAGACGACGATAGGCTCGGATTCATTGATCTCCACGGGGTGGAAGATGGAGTTGAGGAAGGGCAGCCAGTTGATGGCGGGCGCCAAGGCCTGGAAGGGAAGAGGACGGTGTGACTTGGGCGGGGATTCTCCTCAGAGCCCAGGTCTCCAGGGCCTTCCACTACTGGCCAGAGCAAAGAGCTGGGAGCTGTCCGGCGTGCACTGGCAGATGTCAAACTGAGCCGGCTGGCTTTTGTCGGAGATGCTGTAGATGGAACTCTAAGGAGCCATACACCGAACCTGAACTTGAAATAGAACTGGACGGAATAGGAGGAATGAGAGCTGGAGGAGCTATTGTTCATCAAGGCCCTCCTGGGCCAGGTGCCACCGCACGCAAGCAGACTTCACGACGAGCCTCGGCAGTAGGTACTAGTATCCCCAGTTTCCTGATGAGAAACTGAGCCTCAGATGGGCCTGTGATGAATAAGCCTCTAGAATCCGGAGCCAGACTGCCTGGGTTCACGTTCCAGCTCTCTTACTTCCCAGCTGCAGAACTTGAGTAAGCTGATAAAGCCCTCCGTGCCTCAGGATCTCATCTGAAAAGTGGGGATCATCATGACAAGAGAACCCACTTCAACAGGGTTAGTGTGAGGATTAACGAGCTCATCCTGTCTGTTCTACTCAACACGTGTTTCTGTAACACGAGTTGCTTCTATATGACTGGTCTTCTATACGATTGGTAAATTCGAGAACGAGAGCCGTACGGTGTGTAAACTGCTTTGGTCCACAGGGGATTTTCTCGGGATGGAGCTGGGAAAGCAAGAGTAGGATGAGAAGCTTCAGCCAGAAAGGAAAAGCCCTCGGCTCAGCTGACGCACACACAGGAAGTGGTCAGTTCTATTTTAAGATAATTTCAAATGAGCCCCTCACTGGGGCTCCCTCCCCAAAGAGGCACATGCCAGCTTTGCATAACTCTCAGCTTCTGGCAGCTTGCCCTTGCTGTGGGACTGCCCGTAGGGTGGGCTGCCCAGAGCTCCCGTCTGTCTGTAGGGTCTCAGGTCTCCACTTCCCACGAGGCAGCCTTCAGCCATGCTGGGCAACGAAGTTGCACAACTTTTTAAAAATTATGGTAAAATACACATGAAATTTACCATCCTCACCATTTTTAAGTGCACAGTTCATTGGCGTTAAGCACATTCACATCGTTGTGCAACCATCACCCCATCCATCCACAGATTTCATCTTGTAAAACTGAAACTTTGTACCTATTAAGCAATTACTCCCCCTCAGCCTCCACCCCCGCCTCAGCCCTAGGTAACCACCCTTCTTTCTGTTTCTATGCATTCAACTGTTCTAGGAACCTTATGTAAGTGGAACATACAGTATTTGTCTTTTTGTGACTGGCTTATTTCACTTAGCATAACGGCCTCAAGCAAAGCTGAACAAATTTTGCATGGCCTGCTTTGGTCCTCGATTTCCCATATGTTCTGTTATTTTTAGTTCTGTAATTTTACAGAATGGAAGGTTTTTCGAGACTACATACACTGTGTTACAGCAAAAATGCCTGTACCTGTCAATCACTTAGAATGGCCTCTGGCATTTACCAAGCACTCAATCAACGTGAGTTGTTATAATCGCTGATTAGCTAGTATAATCATTGCTCAAGCTCTCCTAAGAGAGGTCCTGGGCCTGTCTGATTCCAAATTCTATCCTCTGTTCCCTTGAAAAAGGGCAAAATGCAAGAGAAATAAAGGAAGTGAGAGATGCATTATAAATGGCCTTCATACGGGAAGATTAATCAATAACTTAAAATCAATCTATAACCTCAGAGGAATCTATAACCTGCTGGCAAATACCTATGATGCCCTCAGGGAGAGAGGCAGCCACAGAAACCTCCCACTTGACAGATGCTGAATTTGCAGATGCGCTAAGATGACTTTCCTGATGTCACACAATTAACTGGTGACGTGCGGGTCTAAAACACGGGCGCATTAGTCTCTCTGGTTTTAACGGACAACCCAGCTGCTGGGAAAGAAGGACCTCAAAGGACAGAGGAAGGCAGGGCCTGCAGCCAGCGGTGTATTGGTAAACTTTAACAACCAGCTCGCAAGGGCAGGGGCTGATCTGTATTCCTACCATGGCCTGTTGCAAACTACCCACAGCGGTGGGAAGAGCCGGGCCCAGCAGGCTCCAGCATATCCCTGCCTGCCCAGCAGCGAGATAAGCTGGGAAGAGCCCCGTCTTGCAGTCAGAAGACCTGGATCGGAGTTCCCACCATGAATCACTTCTGGGATCTCAGGCCATTTCGTAGTCTTTCTCTAAAACGGGGACAACGATCCCCCCTCCCAGGGGTGGCTGCTCCATGCTTCGAGGGGATGGCTTGTTAATAAAGTTGGGTTTCTTTTCTCCCCAGTCTATCTGCTCTCCCTCTCTTCCTGGCGGGAGCCCCTTGGGCAGGTAACTCTGGGGCTCCCCTTAACATTTCTGTGGCTCAGAAGGTGAGGGTGTGCAGGTGAGATGGTCAAATAGGGCTCAACACTTAGAGCCAGCTGCCTGCATGACCTGCTGGCAAAGACCCCAGGGAAATTCGCCAAGTTTACAAAATGTCATTGCTGATAAGATTAACGAGAGCATCATAAACTGCAGGCGACTGGAACTCTGATCAGGGCACAGATATCAGGCGGTGATAAATCCTTGTACTTAACGCGCAGGCCTGTTCCTTTAGGGAGAGCCGGTGTTCTGTGCAGCTAAATTCCCACAACTGTGAGATAAGGTACGTGTTGAATACCAGAATTTTCATATTTTCAATCTTTATTGCTTCAGCGAATGCCTAACTTAAACACATGTGCCTAGGTCCGTCTCCATGGAGACGGCTGTTTTAACCAACAAGGACATTCCACTTGTGACTCAAATCCTTTGGGGCACAGCGATGAGCTCTATTTTCCACACCCGCAGCCAGAGTACTGCTGGTCGTGAACCAGCCAGCTCAATAGGCTTGCAAAGTGGGAGAGAAAAGAAAGATGCTATCAGGCTTTATCCCAGCTGGAGAATTGAGAGCAGAGGCTGGGGCTCACTCTCAAACAGCTTTTGGTGTGGAAGGTTCTAGAGAGGAATGGAAAGGTCCTCAGGCCCTCAGAGAAGCAATGGAACAACGTCTGATTGATGGCTCTGAATTCAGACTCTGCCGGGGTCTAGCCGGGAACCACTCTGTATTCTGGCGGGGCTAGCCTAGAACCACACTGTGAAGGCTACAGCATCTTCCCCCGAGTCACCTGGAATATGGGAATAAAATCAAATTTCCAGATACCAGGAAACAACAAGGCATTCTCTGTGCAAAGGTGGAATGGATCAAATTGGTTTAGTGCTGGAGACATGGGCTAGCATCACAATAACAATGGAACAACCCTGATAATGATCACTATACTATATTTGAATTGTGCATGTCAGTTGACAAAATGGAATCTCATCCTGTGCCTCATCTCACCCTGTCGCAACCCCATGGGCAGGGCAGCCAGGACTCCTATCTAGGACACCGGGCTTCAGGGGGCCAGGACCTCTTTAAATGTTAGACATATTTCTTTTTATATGTACCTATGCCCATTTCTTTTGGGGGACACTCCATAGTTTTCAACTTGTTCTCAAAAGACGGAAAGTTCAGACCACTGTGCCGTATGAGAGGCTGCCTCTCACGTGTCTTGTGTTCTGGAACAGAGCTGGTGTGAATGAGCAAACAGCCCCATTTACAAGGAAGGGAGCCAAGGGCTCCAGGAGAGGGCTTATGTGACTTGTCCAAGGTCACACGGCTCGGGCGGGGCTGGGCTGGAGCAGTCTTCTGACTCCAAGCCCAGAGCTCACACGCTCCCGGCGGCTGGCAGCTCTGCAGCCGGGAGGGAGGAAGTCCTTTCTTCTCTTGGAAGAACAGGGCAAAGCAATGGTGTTCAGACACCCGGGGTAGAGTCTGGAAGCCATGCTGGGGCCAGTATGCCCAGGGCTACTGTGCCTTCTCCACTTTTGTGGTAGCCAGTGGCATCATGACCACTATGGGGGGCTGAGCGACCGCCGGGGCCCCTCTCGGGCTAAGAACTGGGCATCTGGAGCAAACCAAATCATGCTGCACAAACGGCATCTCCTGTGACCTCCCGGCCTCAGAGCGGAAAAACAGCACCAGATGGTGCCCAGCACAGGCTGCTGGTCTCCATAACAACCTTCCCGGCACCACTCCGCCTGATGCCAGCTCCTCTGGGGACCTGAAGGGCAGCTGGCACCCAGAAGGAGGCTCTCGTGCCCACATCCCCAGCCTCTGCGTGGGCTGCACCTCCCTTGGGACACGGGGTCTGCCCGGCTACTGCTCACTCATTCCTTAGACTCATCTTCCCTGGCTTGGCCCACCCGGGGCCCCAGCACTCTGCATCTCTTGCCCAAAGCTCTCAGCAAGAAGTTTGGGACTGTTCCCTCGTCGGTGGCCCCAATGGCCTGGAAGCACACATCAACGGCAAGGCCCCAAGGTAGCCCCTATACACTTGTCAGAGGGAGGAACGGGGTGGGGGCTTAGATGTTCCTCCTGAAAGGAGAAGGAAACGAGCCAGCCCTAGTGGATGGGCAGGACTCAGCTGGTCAGAGGGTGGAGACGGGGGGAGGAGACATTTTGGTAGAGCCCCAGCACAAGTGGCCCAGGCATCTTCCCCAGCGGGGGAGCAAGGCCCAGCAAGCATCCCTGGGCGATGGCAGGAAACAGGAAGAGAAACCGAGGCCAGCTGCTAGTTCTTCAGCAATCCCGGGGGCCTGGGATAAGCCTGGACACCAACACCCCAAGAACTGAAAAGAAGGAACTGGCCAGCAATCAACTCGCCACCCTCAAGTCCTAAGCAGCCACCAGGACGCAGCCCGTGGCAGATGCTGACCTACAGAGGGGACGCTGGCTTCTCAGATGGGTTACCCCCAGCTACAGAGAGCATCGCAATTCTGATCCCAATTCCATTACACCTCCAGGAGGTCATAGGGCACGTGATGAAGAGCAGAGCTTCAGCAAGCGAAGCCTGAGTCCAGCGCCCAGCTTCCCCGCCACTCAGGAGCCTCGAGGCCTTGAACACGTCACCTAACCTCCCGGCTTGGAAACGGAGAAGTGACAACAGAACCCACGCCTCACATTTATTGTTGGCTGTGCACCAGGTTTGATGTGTTTGGTGCTTGAGAGACTAGAAATGCCCAGTAATGTGAGCTATTGTTATCACGACCAGAGAATCTCCCCAGGTAAATGCTGTTACAGCAAAGCAGCCCAGGGTAGGGCAAGAGATCAGCTCTGGAGTCACTAGCTGTGTGGCCTTCAGTAGGTAACTCTGCCTCTCTGAGCCTCAGTTTTTCCATCTGTGAACCGGGCATAACAACCATCCCTGTTTCATATGGTGGCTCTGAGGATCTGATGAAGTGGGTGTGAAAACCTCCAGCGCCGTGCCCTATGTCCCAAAGCCCTGAGGCTGTCCCAGCCTCCGCGCCAGCCCTCGTCCAAGGTACCTGCAGCTCGGCCGCCGTCACTTTGTGGTAGATGAGCTCCTCGTCCCGGCGCTTCTCCTGGGGGATGGTGATGTTGGCCAGAGCCGTCTCAAAGTCCAGGATCTGCTGCATCTGGGGCCGGATGTTGTCCTCGTCCCCTCCGCCCAGCAGCTTCCCCAGCTGGACCATGTAGTTCAGGTATCCCGTCAGCACCTGTGGGACCCACCGTCCCCAGTCTGTCAGTGGCTGTCACTCACTGGCCACTGGACAAGGGCAGCAGGGTGGGGCAGGGCCAGCTGCACCGAGCGTGGGGAGTGGGAGGGCTGGGCACTTCCCCCAGGAGACCTGCTGGAAACAGCTTCCAGAATGATTTCAATGCTGCACCTCTTCGCTGGCTCCCACGGCCCTCAGGATCAAGTCCACGGGCCCCTCTGTCCCAGCCCACTCCCTCCTGAACGCTCATCACATGAAAGCCAGCAACGGGGCCATCTCTCAGCTCCTGGAACGCACCTTTTCTGAACCGCCCTCCTGCACCGTGCCCCAGACCTGAATCAGGTCCTGTGCTAGGCTTTCTGAGCCTTTCTCACCCCTCACTTATCACAATTAGTCATTACGCCCCTAATGGGTGGTTAGTTAATTAACATCTGCCTCCCCTCCTAGACTCGGCCCCGCAGGGCAGGACCACGCCAGTCCCATTCACCGCTACCTCCCCAGCATCAGGCACTTCGTACACGCTTGCTCAGTACAAGTTGGTGGAAAAATGAGTGGACAGATGAGGAACCTCAGGCAAGGTCTCCCCTGGACATCACGAGAGGCAGCCTGGGGGAGTCACAGGCTTTGGAGTGAGTGGATCTGGATGTGAATCTCAGCCTCACTACTCACTGGCTGTGTGACCTTGAGCAGGTCACTCAGCATCTCTGAGCCTTATTCCCTCCTTTGGAGAAGGCAAGGTAAAAATAATACCTGGGTGACAGATGAGGTGAATGAAGTTCAGAGACGTTCAGTACTGGCAGGGTTACTGGGATGGCCAGAGGTGATGGACAGAAAAGGCCTACGATCCACAAATGGTGGTGGCTATCGCTGCTTTGATCTTGAATGGGTACAAATGACACCTGTCCCCTTCCTATTGTGCCCACGATGCCAGAATGTGAAACAGCCAGCCTGGGGGCCCCCTCACCTGGCGAGGACTGCCTATCACCCCTCAGGTAAGTGACACTTCTGTACTCCTCTAGCTTCAAAGACCTGCACAGGGGGGACACTGAGGGGACACTGAGGCTGGTGAGCCGTGGCGAGAGGTGGGCTGGGTGCAGGAGCCACTCCCCCTGAAGAGGTATACTCACCTTCTCATTTTCTGTTTTGTTCAGGTAATAGTCCCTTGAGGGTAAGCCCAGGCCGGACTGGTCCACCTGGAGAGACGGGCGGGAGTGAGAGGGAATCTCCGGTGGCACATGCACGCTGCACGGCCCTGCCTGCCCTGGGGACGGCTGGCACATGGCACAGGACCAGCTCGGGTCCCAGCAGGAGCACAAGCTGGCACCTGAGGCCACCTCTGGGACGGGCCCACTGGGGAGGCGACAGACACATGGGGGCTGCCTTCTTGCCCACACACGTGCTCAGCCCAGGGATTCTGGGCCCTTCTGAGGGGCCGGACAGAGCCACCCTCCTCTTAAACACCTCCCAGCCTTGGCAGACCACCTCTATTTCGTTCAACGCTTCCCAAGATGCCGCAGTGGTTAAGAGCCACTCACATGCTGTATAACCTTGGTCAAGGTACCAAACCTTTTTGATCTGCAGCTTCTTCATCGGGAAAATAGGTGAAATAACATCTACCCTTCAGAGCTGGAAGGACGACTCAAGGAGAGGGTGCCAGTAAAAAGCTTGCTGAGGGCAGGTAAGGGAGGGTCAATTCCTGACAGCTACACTCAGAGCCTAAGGCCACACCTGACATACTTAGAGCAGGTGTTGTTACAGTTCGTTTGATTGACAAGGAAACAGCAGCTCAGAGAGGTTTAGGCATTTGACCAAGATCACACAGTGAGTGAGTGGCAGAGACGGGTGGGAACCCAGGCTTCCTGACCCCCAGCCTGGGTTTCTCACTTCTGCGTCCGAGGGTGGGAGACCAGTGCAGAGGCTCCCTTGGGTGTGCTGACGCTCCGTCTGGGGCAGGCTCTGGCAGGAAGAGATGGACTCAAAGCCATTCCAGGATGAGCCACAAAGGCTGCAGGTGGAGGTGGAGGGACCGGAAGGCGGCTCCAGCTGTCCTGGAGCCCACAGTGACCATCAGAACCCCAAAGATTCATCTGCGCTGCTGTGGGCCCACGTCCCCAAGGACGGCAGCTCCCCCTTTCATAGCTTCTTGTCCTTAAAAATCTCACGGCTGGGAGCCTCCAGAAAGAACCTAGGCTCAGAAACCAGAAGCCCGCGCCCAGGGCAAGTCTCCCCCACCCCAGCGCGTGCTAAACTCAGGAGGCCATGAGGTCAGGGTCCTTCCTCTTCCTGGGGTCCCAGCCCAGCTCACCTGGATCACATTGCTGTTGGAATTCTTGGAGTCGGCGCTGACGTAGACGGAGAAGAAGGGTGAGGTGCGGTAGTGGGAGGTGACCACCTGCAGGGTGTCCTGGAAGTTGTCCTTGTCCCAGGGACCTGTGATGTTCCAGCCCCCGAGCTGCGGGGGGGGAGAGGGAACAGGGAGGTGAGGAGGTGGTGGGGACATCCGGGTGCGAATTCTGCTTCTGTGGCTGACTTGCTCTGTGATACTGAAGCAGGCATCTGACCTCTCTGAGCCTCAACAGCACACGAAAGGGACAGTCTTCATTAGGGGTTTCTGCACAGTGAGCAGGAGATACTGGATGGAGCAAAGACTTATCTGAGATGAGTGAGCCATGAATCTACACGGCGGCTGCTCCCTGGACGGCTGCGGACGGGGATGGGAAGGAGACTTCCCGTAGATTGTCCACTTTTTGTTTTGAGGGTTTTTTTCTCCCCGAAGCCCCAGGACATAGATGGATCCTAGTTGTAAGTCCTTCTAGTTCTTCTACGCGGGATGCCACCACAGCATGGCTTGACGAGCAGTGCCAGGTCCGCACCCAGCATCCAAACCTGTGAACCCCAGGCCAATGAAGTGGGGCGTGCGAACTTAACCACTCGGCCACGGGGCCAGCCCGTCTCTTTTTGAATACTGAAGCACATGGATGTAATTCCTAGTAAAACATAAATTCAATCATGTCTACGGAAAAAAAAGGCTCCATATTTTTCAAAAGGTTGATAAGCTATGGGCTCTAGTTTCTCTCAGAGTTGGGATTTTTTAAATCTCCTTGGTCCTCTCTGGCTCAGCATAAGCTGGCAGGTGGGGCCTGTGCCAGAGAGGACTGTACGGTCCCCAGTGCTCACAGCTCCCACTCTTGCTGCGATGCCTTCCCAGAGCCAAGCTAGGAGGCAAGGCCTCGAGGGAGCACAAGACAGTCAGAAAACATCCACGGCCACCCTTCCGTGTGCGCCAGGCAGCCTGGCCAGCCTTGAGCGGCACCCCCTCGGAGTCCATCCAAGGCCAAGTGGGAGGTGCCCAGGAAGAAAGACTCCTCCCCTGCAGGAGGAAGGGGAGGCCCCTGCTTCTGGTCCAAGACTTTCTGTTAGTCTTTCTACAACATACCCCTCCTCAAGCACAAACACGCTTTCTGAGGAAAAGGAAGCAGCAACGTAGAGAAACATTTATCCTGTAAATATGGCCCCTGTCCCACACACAGATGCACAGAGAGACACACATACATGTGACAGACATCCACAACAGATGCTGGCACACATCTCCCCACTAACACACACACAGTATCCCCACCCACGCAGAGATACGTGCATACACACACTGACAGCCCCGACAGGGTCTATAGTCTGGCTGGGCGAGGTGGCTGGAGGTGTGAGGTGGCCAGGCCCCTGTGTAGCTGAGAGCGGGGTGGGGAGCCGAGGGGCAGGCAGGTGACGTGGGCAGGAGAGCCAGCAAAGTCTGCCCGAGGAACTCACCTTCTCGATCAGCTCCATCAGGGGCTTGGCCTTGAGCTCCTCGATCCTGGTTTCATTCATGCATGCACGGTAGTAGACTTGGGCCTTCCTTTCTGCCTCGCTCACACTGGCTGTGGAGTTTTCTGGAACAACAGACAGCTGAGTTTGCAACGTGCCCCACTGGCACACCAGGGTGCCCCAGGTGGGACCTGAGAGCCTCGGTGCTCTCAGCTGTTAACGGAGCTGACACTTCTGCCCGTCAAGATGGCAGGAGGAGCTCAGTCACAGCGGGTATGTGACAGCCCCTGGGCTCGCAGACTCGCCCCTGGGTTGGCAGCACAGGCTACCCAGCAGGATGACAGTCTGCCGGTCAAGGCGTGGCCCAAACATCCTCACATGGTGCGTGGGACAGAGACCAGCTTGGTTGTCCAATCCCAGAGGACCTTTCTTGCGACAAAGACTGGAGTGGGACAGAAGCTTTAAAGGCCTTGTCCATCCTGAATTCACTGGCCGCCGCCTCCTCAGAGGGGCTGGGCATCATGTCCATCACACCGTCAGCTGACTCCAGAGGCTGTTCGCCATTGCCCTTCCCGGACCCTGGCAAACAGCCTCACAACCCCTTACAGTGGGACACCCGGGAGACTTCGTCCCCTTCTCCCTGCCCTCAGCGCCCTGGTCCGGATGCCACCTGCAGAAGGCCACGCTCCTATATGTTCACAAGCACCAGACAGGGTCCTGTCCGCACCCAGTGAAGGTGACCACTTTCTGCTGTTCAGGTCACGAAAGACCTACTATGTGCCAGGGCCCCTGTGGCGGAGCCTTCATCTCAGAGCCCTGCTCCAGACGACGCTGGGGTCCCCGTCCCCTCGATTCCCTCTGGCTCGTTCCCTCCCTGGCTCCCTCTGGCCACTTTTCCTCATTTCAAATTCGTTTCTCCCAGACCCTGAAACTCGTTCCTTGGCTTCCTTCAAAGACTCCCCCAGACCCCAGCTCCTCCACGAAGACTCTCCGGGCAGAACTTTATCCATTCATCCACTAAATGGGTCCCAGATGCTTACTACTGTGCTGGCTTTATGCAAGCTTTGGGGACACAAAAGACAACATCCCCATGAACTTCCCTGCATGCAAAGAAATGACCACGAGACATAAAAGTGCTCTGATTAATGCAAATGGCTTTAGAACCCAGAGAAAAGTCACACCCTTTCGTGGGGTGGGGTCAAGGGGGCCTGCAGAGAATGTTCTATTTGAGTTGCCTCTTAAAAATGAAAAGCTATTCACCATAGAAATGAGGGGAAAGGGCCCTGGGTTTGGGGGCCTTTGGAGAGTATGAGGAAGAGCAAGGAAACGAGGGTGTGCCGCTTGGAGAAAGAAATCCACTCGGTGCGGCCGGTTTCCAGGGGCAGGACTCATTCCTGACAGTCCAACCAGCCTTCTCAGCCCTCGCCCCGAGAGCTCCCCCGCCCCCCATTCCTCACCATGAACAGTGGCACAGTTTTCACCGGCCAGAGCATCAGCTGTCCTGCTGAAGTCAGGGTGACAGCCCTGAAGAGGGATGGGACCAGCCTGAGCTAGTCTGAAGGGAGATGTGGAGACAAAGGCCCGGGGGCCTGCGTGACGGGGGCCACGGAGGGCACTCACAACCCTGGAAACACCTGCGTGTCCCCCACGTCCGGCTGGAGCAATGAGAAGGGGCCTCCCAGGGGGAGGGCAGCAGTGGGGAGGGCTGGGACTTCTCCCTGCTCCTCAGACTCAGGAAGCGGAACATCAGGGAAAGCGGAGGGGGTTCCCCACCTGCCTCCCAGGGCCTTGTTTCCATGACAACACCTCCCAGCAACTAGGCTCTTGGAAGGGAAAGCACCAGAATCGTCATTTCTCGCCAGACCCCAGAAGCAGCGTCTCACCGTCCACATCTGGCTTGACCATGGCCCTGGAAAGCCAGGCCAGTGTCAGGGGAGGTGTGCTCCGTATGCTCTGGCCGTGAGAGGGCCTGGCATGTCCCTCCCCTGTGCCTCAAGGCCACCAAGATAAGAGGCCCAAAGAGAGGCTCCCAAGGAACAGCCTGGCTGTGCCCGTGACAGTGAGTTCCAGGTACCCCTGCAAACAATCCCCGAACCATCACTGGGAGAGGGAGCGCCCCCACAGAGGGAATGTCCCCTCCCGGCCCTGAGGGGCTGCCCCTGGTCCAAACTGCCTTCCTCCGAGCTCCACACCCTGGGTGTCACGTCCACTCATTGCCCCACAAATGTGCATGAAGCTCCTGTGGTTTGGTAGCTGCTGGGCTGGGTGTGGAGGATGCAGTGGGCAACAGAGACACGGTTCTGCCCGCGTGAGGCCCACAGCCTGGTGGGCGAGATGCAGAGCAATGCAATAATCACAGCTATGATAGTCTGATTACACAGGGGGCGAATGCTGCGAGGAGAACACCCCTGGAGACCTGGAGGGACGATAGCCCGGGAGGCCCCACGAAGCCTCGCCTCAGCCCTGGGCATGATGGACGAGTTCCACATGGTGTGGCCGTGGGGGCTGTGCTTGGGCTGCCTCGGCTGCTAGTCTGTCTTAGTCATCCCTGCTCCCCCAGCACCAGGGGCACACAGTAGCCCTCAGCAACGTTTGCTGAAAGAACGGAGCCAGTATCCCCTTCTGATGAGGAAGGATGCTGTATCCAGGGACAAGAGGGCAATGCGGCCAGTGCCTGTTGGAGACTTGCACAGGGAGAAATGAGGCAGGTGGGATGGGAAAGGACAGGGGCGTGGGCCCCATCAGGAGTTAGCGTTCACACCCCTGTATGCCCGTGCGGACGCTGCTGGGGCAGGAGCCCCGGAGAAGCTGAAGCTCCTCCACGGCTCCACCACCTCCCTCTGGCCCACGGAGCCCACGGGGACAGCGCACAGGACAGTCTCCCCCTCATCTCCTGCTTCCTCACCTACCACCCAGCTCTTCAATAAGAGCAGGAGCGAAATGACCAAGTGAGAGGCCCTGCAACAGACCAGGTGAGCGATGACGGGGGCTTGGGCCAGCTGGCAGCAGAGAAAGGACAAGAGGCAGTGGGAACAGGAGAGAAACAGGAGCGAAGAGTGCTGCCACGTCTCCTTGGCCTGAGCAAAGGGTTGTGGCTAACTGAGATGCGGAAGGCTGGAGACGGGGCAGGTTCAGGGAGCGGAATGAGTAGTTCAGTTTTAGACGGTTTAAGCTGGAGACGTCTACTGGACAGCCAAGTGGACCCCAGGCTGGTGAGTTCACAGAGCTGTTGTCTTGAACTACCATTAGTTCAAATAGGCACTGAGAATATAAATTCCTTAAAATTTGCCTATAAGGCCCTGGGGTCGGCCTGGTGGTGCAGCGGTTAAGTGCGCACATTCGGCTTCTCGGCAGCCCGGGGTTCGCTGGTTTGGATCCCGGGTGCAGACATGGCACCACTTGGCAAAAGCCATGCTGTAGTAGGCATCCCGCATATAAAGTAGAGGAAGATGGGCAAGGATGTTAGCTCAGGGCCAGTCTTCCTCAGCAAAAAGAGGAAGATTGGCAGTAGTTAGCTCAGGGCTAATCTTCCTCAAAAAAAAAAAACAAAAACAAAGTTGCCTATAAGGTCCTACACCATTCATTCTCAACAGGGGCAACATTGCCCCCAAGCGGGGAGAGAATTAGTTCTTAGGGGGCAGAAACCTCTTACTCTTTTTATGCATACATACAGTACATAAACAGGTATACAGTAAACCTGTGGTATTAAAATTTTAGGAGGCGGCGATAATGAAAAAACATTGAGACGCTGCCCTGGTGATCTAGGCCCTGCCCCCTCCCAGGTCCCACCTCCCACCTCGTCTCCCGCTCTTCTCCCTCTTGCTCCCACGCTCCTGCCCCAGAGCCACCATGCTCACTGTTCCTCCTGCCTGCCACACTCTTCCCCTCACATCCATGGGGTCTGTTCTCTCACTGAATTCAAGTCTCTGCTCAAATATCCCCTCCTCTGGAAGCCCACCCCTCTTGGCCACCTCTTCTCTCTCAGGCCCCGCATCCTCCATGATTGTCTTCAGAGCCTGAACTCTTCACAACCGTATTATTGTTTATTCATTTATCTGTTCATTGTCTGTCTCCCCTGAGGGCACGTAAGTTCCACAAGAAAAGACTGTCTTATTCCTTACACAGCCCCCAGCACCTAGCGATGTCTGGCGCACAGCTGGTGTACAATATCTAATTGTTGAGTGAATGAATGAAGGAGTGTTCTGGGAGCTCCACAGAGAAAGACATCCGGCACGTCAGCCTGAGGGAGGAGGCTTGGTTTCAAAGTGAAATCAGCCACAGAGGTTTTCTCGTTAGGAAAAGCTGGCTTTCCTTTAAGACACCCCTGCCTGTGTTTACTTCCCAGAAGAAAGTTCCTTGGGAGCAGGGCAGCTTGAGGACTGAGCTGGGGGCCATATTTTGGAGATGGCGGCACTTGCAGGGCCCCCCGTGGTATGGAAATAATTTGGCAGTCCAGGGTCAGACAACAGGGCTTCCAAATGCCTGGGTACTTCCTTTCAGGGACCTGGAGTTCCAGAAATTTCCTCAGTCACTTCCCCAAAGTCCCAGAGAGGAAAGCCAGCACACCATTTAATCGGCCCGCTTCTTCCTTTGGGAGTTTTTACTGGAACACCCTTTCCCACGTCACTGCCCGGGAGGAAGCAAACGCCCAGCTGCCGGCTGCAGGGACGGCCTTCCTGGGAATTCTGCGGCCCCCTGTGCTGCATGAGACGTCTGGCCAGGAGCAGGAGGGCGCCGACTCCGCATCAGGGCAGGCCCAGCGTTTGTTTTAGATAAAACCAAGACTCAATTCAGATAGTCACAGGCCTCAGGGGCCCCTTCCTGCGAGGGGAAGCGGGGGGCTGATAAAGGAGGCGCCTTTTTCTGCAGAAGGACAAAAATCATGACACTACTGTTACCATTTACTGGGGCCTACTGTGGGCCAGGCCCCGCGCTGAGATCTTTCCATCACCACACTGACCCCCTGACATGGATACCATCACCCCATTTCACAGAGAAGGAAAATGAGGCCCAGGGAGATGAAGGAACTCGCCTAGGGAGGCTGACGTAATACACAGCACGCTGGAATTTGAACTGGGCATTCTAATTCTCCCTGAGAAAATGAACTGCTTCCTCCGTGTGTGGG